GGCCTCATGGGGGTGGATATTGAACCATGAGGGGCCTCATGGGGTTGGATATTGAACCATGAGGGGCCTCATGGGGTTGGATATTGAACCATGAGGGGCCTCATGGGGGTGGATATTGAACCAATAGGGGCCTCAGTGGTTTGGAAATTGAATCAATAGGGGTGTCACGGGGTTGGATATTTAACCATGAGGGGCCTCATGGGGGTGGATATTGAACCATGAGAGGCCTCATGGGGGTGGATATTGAACCATGAGAGGCCTCATGGGTGGACACCGAAACTCGCAGGACTTCATAGGGCAGATATTGAACCTTGAGGGGCCTCACTGGTGGATATTAGATCACGAGGGAACTGTAGATAACCTTGGTTAGAGTATTGTGTGCAGCGTTCTGGAATCTGCATTAAAGGAGGGATGTAATCGCGCTGGAGAGGGCGCGGAGGGAGATTTACCAGGATAAAGGTGGGGGCTCTCGCTTGTATCCAGGTAACACACTCCACCCAAGAACATCGAATACAAGTATTTATTTAATTTCTGTCCTCACTCCCCTGTGTTTCACTCTCTGCAACTGTATTGCTGTAATGCAAAAGTAAGGAGATAATGAGGTCAAAGCATTCAGGATAGAAGCAAGAGTGCCAAATTTAAGTGGGAACAACAATTTATACAGCGTCGGACACGGTGCTGATTGCTTGGCACGTTGACCCTGATGGGTGCCGCGCAGACTACATATTTTCAATTTCTGTTTCCCTTTCTCGCCCGTCCCGTTTCTCAGGAGTTTTTCAGTGAAAACCTATGGGAGAAAGTGCCACGTTCATGGAGGGCGACTCTGTCCAAGCTGACTGCCCCACAGCTTTCGACATTGCTGCTGGAACGAGGACCTTGTGTTGGGTAAGGAATGGTCTCTGAGACTGAGGCCAAGGCGAGAATGGCTTGCAGTCATATAGTGCCATAAGGTTACAAAGTAGTTCAAGGTAGTCACAACAGACTTCAAAGGAACAAAATCTATTTTCTGCAGTGTACAGTTTAAATAAACTGTAGACCGGGCCACTGTTTAAATAGACTGTAGACTGTTGTGAAGTTGGGTAGAGGACTTGTGGATTGGGAGGCGAGAAGTTAGAATTTGGTGTTTGTAAAATGCTAGGGGGCAGGGGAGCATTGCATGGTCCCTTTAAAAGGAGATGTGTTTTTTCTACGTTTGGAGATTTAAAAAGGATGTCTGTGAGCAGCAGATAGAAAGTTTGCAGGTACACAGAGAGTGCCCAAATTGAAACCTTTGCATCAAAAGGTTGTATAGTTAGCCGGCCAAGCAACAGTTTTTACCAAGACAACAAGTTTTTGAATTTAGCCAGTCTATTTGAACCAGGCCCTTAGATACCTAAAACCAATTAAATTTAAATCTGATGGTTTTGACAACAAAGGACCAATCCTCTTGTAAGAAATGGATAAGTCATCAAGGGTAAAATCGTCAGTGCGCCTCCGGTGAAGCGTCGGTGTTCTGTTGGTGTTGCCTAGCAGGACGGCAAAACATTTGCAACCAAACCCACCGGCTTGGCGAGCACGTCTACAACCTCATCCACAACCAGAGCTACAAATCTTCTTGAAAACTTTAATCACCGGGCGCTGTTTAAATAGAATCTATAGACCGGGCGCTGTTTGAACAGACCCTGGAGACCGGGCGCTGTTTGAACAGACCCTGGAGACTGGGCGCTGTTTGAACAGACTCTGTATACTGTGTGCTGCAGCGTCAAAACTTGTTTATGTTGTTTACAAAACGCCTCCTGTTTTAGTGAATCGGATGAGGTATGTGGGACCTGAAAAATCTCAAGTGCCTGCAGGAACATGGGGAAATTGAGGCGGAAAACCATCAACCCTTTCTCTTTCCTCTCTCCATGTTGTCTGTCTGTCTCTCCCAGGCGCGAGTCGGTGTGGCCACTCTCTCTGTTGGCGTTCCGGGCATCCGCTCACGCGCTGTCCTTCTCCCGCCAACCCTGGGGTGGTGACTCATTCCCCCCTCCCACAGGGTTGGGCCAGGGGCCAGAGGAATTTCAGGCCAACGGGAGCGAGAGCTCGAGGTTGAGCCACCATTTCCGGAAGCATGTTAAGCCGAAGAAGCAGCATGAGATCCGGAGGCTGGGTGCGGTGAGTGGTTGCGACTGGTCTTTGCCTGGGGATGGAGGGGAGGGAGGAAGGTGATACCTGATTGTTGGCAAGAGGGGCTGTGACGCTGAGGGGTGGGAGGGGGGAATTGGGAATTGTCCGCAGTGTTGACCTGCATCGGTAAGGCCACAATTCCGGTCTCCGTGCTATAGGAAAGATGTGATTACACAGGGGGTGCAGAGGAGATTGTTGCCCGGGAGGGAGAAGTTTAGTGACAAAGGGAGGCTGCATAAGCTCAGCTTGTTTCCTTTAGTGCATAGAGTGGAGTACCTGATAAACTATGAGGGGTATGGACAGTGTGAATTGGAAGCAGCCGTTCCCCTCAGTCGAATGGTCAATAGCGTGGGTGACATAATTTTAGGGTGAAGGGCGGGAGGTTCAGAGGGGATTTGAGGAAGGCATTTTTCACCCAGAGGGTGGTGGGGGTCTGGGATGTGGTGCCTGGGAGGGCAATAACAGGACGAAAACCCACAACCTTTAAGAAGGCATGAGCACTGTAAAGGTCAAAACGTTCAAGGTCACGGGCCGAGTGTTGGAAAGTGGGACGAGTGTCAAAAGACCGGTGCAGACATAGTGGACT